TAAATTCCTCTTTCCCTCTTTAACTCATCTTTTCTTCTTTCTTGGTCTTCAATGATCACTGCACAACTCGCCAATGGTTATGTCGTATTTGGAACTCGAGTTGTCTAACCACTCATAAATGTTTAATGAAGAGATCGATTTAGCACAGAACGAGTTCGTGTTTGACTTATCGATCCTGTTATGTGCGACAAATAATAGAGAATACTTCTCTAGCACCATCTACAAGAAAATAAATATGTATAGTCAAAAGCCTCCAAGTCAGGTTTACGTTGAAAATCTTGACATCTCGTTGAGCTGGCTATAATGTCAAAACACAAATGTTCGACCAGATTAAAGTAACTCAATAGCTTGCCAAGGAAACTCAACTCATTATATGTCTAAGCTGATGCAACTATTTATGAGTTCAACTCACCCATTCCGATCAGCTCATTTAATGGTCAAGTTGACTTACAAAAGCTTTACCAATAATTAAGTCTCAAAAAAAAATTTTACATATAGAACTAAATTATCCATCTATCCATGCCAAAAGAGGATAAATGAGATCGATAAAAAATTTCTTGTGAATTATACGCAACAAGTACTAATTTGTAGCATATAATTCAATTCCTCTCGAAGAAACCCCGGATATTGAAAATCTCTTTATTCAACTTTTTTTTTGTGGTATGGATTCATGAACAAATCATGATCCCAGGGTAATAAAAGGTTTATTTTCATACTGATTAAATAAAGGCTAAAACCTTAAGCATGAAAGAGCACAAAACTGTGTCAAACTAAGAAGCGATGGTGAAGGCATGAAAAACCTTGGAGTCCAGACAAAATCCAACTCTTGTTTCAAAAAGATGTGTTATGGCAGATGAACAAAAGCAATTATGCTTTTAATATTTCAAAAGGAGAGGCTATATCGGTTAAAAAGATAAAAAAATAACTCATTGGATGAATTCAAATCTGTGATCATGGTAGAGCTACTGTAGATGGGTGATTGAGGTCAAACAACCATAGTTTAAGATGCAGATTGAACGATCGAAATGAGGTAATGTTTGGAAGATTATAATTAGGAATTTCCTGTTATGTGCTTGTAGTTGAGTGTTTCTATCAATTAATTATAATTGGGTGAGGGATTTGAGGCCATTATGAGCAGTTGATTGCAATCAGGTAATGGCGTTAGATATAATGATTGTATGTTTGTAATCGAGTGGTCATGATTGGACAATCATAGACTGATAATAATGTTCAGGTAATCATAATAAGGTGTTAGTGGTGATAGGAAAATAGTGCTCTAATGATGGTGGTAGCAATCTAACGAAAGAGGATGGGTAATAGTGGCTGGACGAGTGTATTCTACATTGGCGATCCGATTGCAGGAAAAGTGCAAGTGTTATCTGACAATGAATCTGAGTGGCGGTGATTTGATTGTGATGGCTGGTTAACAATTGTGATCTGATGTTGGCTTAAGATTTGATGGCATTGGATGGGGGCATATTTATAAATTTTGTGAGTGCAAATCCTTACAATTTCAACCAGTTCATAAACTATATCAAATGGCTAAAAATTAATCTTTATCACAAGATTTTTTTCAATGTTTGAATGACATAATGATGCCGAAATTAAATGAATATAGTATTTTTGGATTTTTCTACTAAAGACTGTTTGAGTTAATTATGAGCTTGCTAGAATTAAAGATCATTTGATCACCTAATTAATATCTTAAGAATTTCATCAACGCTTCAAATGTTTGATCCGGTTTCATTTCGATATAAATCAAATTATTTTTTATGTTAAATTTACTACAGTTAGAGTTTCTATGGCCCTTAATTATAATGGGGATTTATTAGTTCAATAAATAAAATTTGGACGATTAAGCTCTAAATATTCCAAAAAGAACACACACCTAAAAATAATACAATATGTACGCGTGAAATATTTGTGTACGTAAGAGCTGTGTACGTCTGTTAGGTTATAGAGAGGGTATTGAGGGTTAAATCCCTGTTATACCTCTATAACTTCCGTGTAACCCACCTGTAACCAGTAAGTTTTACGCTTCTATTTTCATATATTTATAAGTTACAAGTAGGTTACAATGAGTTTACAAGGATTACGTAGAGCTGCTGCGTACGTATTACGTACTCAAATATAGAGGATACGTACGTAGAGTTACAAATACATATTTACACATTTACACAAGGCCTAAACCGGCGGGTTCCCTTCCAACGCGAACCGGTTTTTATCCCGTCCGCTCTGCAGAAGCGCCGAAGAGGAACCCCTTCCAGCATCCCTTGCCCTCTCCCGATAGCAAGGGCTTTCGAGCTTCCTCCCATCCCACCAGCCTCCGAAATCTCTTCTTTTTCTCTGTTCTTCTTTCCCATGGCTTCGTCTTTGAGAATCTCTTATCTCTTTCCCTTGTCCGGCTTCGACATGGCGTCGTTGGAGACTCGAAGAAAGCTCCCGAGTCTTTGTATCAAGCAGAGAACAGCAGTGAGACCTCCTTCTATTAAAGCTTCTTGTTACCCCATTAAGCCTCTTCGCTTCTCTTTCTTCTCGCCTTCAGCTGCCTCCGGAGAGGCCTCGAAGGTGGAGGATGTAGAAGAGGCCGTGTTACAGGTATTTCTTTGAGTTTAATTTTGTGTCCCTTTGCGATATTGCGTTTAGATTCTTCTTTTCATTATATTGTCTGTTTTACTTTATTGCCATAATGCTTTTATGTAATTATGCCTTTGAAAGGAGAAAAAAGAAAAAAAACAATGCTCCGTTGGATTGTTCTCGATGCTGATAAAACGTGTGCACTGTAAAAGGGATGTATATAAGTTCATTATGGCCGCATTTTGGCCGGTGAGTTGGAAGAGCATGAATATTTCGTTTTCATGGTTAGAGCTGGTTAGAACTATGCCATGGCGAGCTTTTTTTATCCCTAATTGTGAGTTGAGGAGCCCTTTTTTTTTGTAACAACCAGGATAGCATGTCAATTACAGTTGTTTCGTCTGTTTTTTGGGTTATTCGTTCAGTACTTTTGGAACTCCTAACTCGAGGGATTTTCGTTTCCTCGCAAGGTTTTCACTGTGTAGATTTTTTAAAGATGCACGCTTATGTTCATAGGCCAATTTTGAGCTCTAGGAAGTTCAGCAATATCTTTAAGTTAGTCTTGCTTAGAAAGAGTAAATTGTTTTGATGATATTTTCTCAAGAAAATCTGTCATTTTGAACTAAAACTTAAAACCTTTCTTTACATTTTGTATCTTCATCTGCATATAAAATTGAATGCAAATGCTGTTGTGATTACTGATATCGGGGTTTTAGCGTAAGATAGAACCTTACTACCCTTCACCATAAAATCTAGGAGATTGCACAACAAAACTGATTTCTGCCTTCTTCTGGACCTCTTTTACATATAGTGCCTTTTATATATTATGCTTCATTCTGACGGATTTCGCCATTCTTTTCCCATGAACATGGTAGAGTGTGACAGAGGAATTCCCCTGGAAATTTGAAGATTCACATGGTCTGATTTGTTGAAGACTCTGGGGGACATAGAGGGTATAGGTTGAGCACAAAAAAAAAAGACCAAAATCAAATGAGAGCTATTAATCTATTCCACTACCTGCTAGCTGATTGCCCTTGTAAATCTTAGCTACAGGCCAACATGTCCTTGTGCATCTATGTAGTTCTCTCCTAGAGAGAGAGGGAGAGAGAGAGAGAACTGGGGGGGGGAAAGGAGGTAAGTGTGGGGGGGGGGGGGTGTGATGGGCGATGGAGGGCTATATTTTCAATTTTTAGGTGTTTCAGTTTCAGTCTGTAGTTGATACCCAATTCATGGCTGTGAAATCCGATTAAGTTCAAAAAGAGCTCATATCATTTGGATTCCTTGTTAAAATCTCAACCACTCTTTGTTAGGAGAGTGAAATGCTTCCTTATTAAATTATACACCACCAAGTCTGTCCATGGAACCTCAACTATGATGGATGTTTTGATCTCTTCTCTCTTCTTGAACCTTCAATGAGACCCACCGAATTGTAAATTAATGGCATTTGATGTTGTTGAAGTGATATAGGATGGGAGTTAGAACATTTTTTCTTTTTTTTGCATGAGAGCTTGTTTTTTGCTTTATAGTCCTTTCGGAAAAACTCGTTATAATTTCCCCTTCTAGTTCTTAGTAGCTTTGAAATATCTCTATAATGATGGGTATCAATCTCTAATTTATGTAGCTCGATCTCTCCCTATATAAAGTCCAAAAAAAGTTTTTTATTAATGAAAGGAATCACTCTATCAAATGAGCATGCATTTGAGAGAAAGAAGCTGGATTTTGGAGAAACTGGGATGATGATGTCTTAGTTGAAAAAGAAACTCCCTAAACTAATATTTTGGAAGGGAAAGTCGCCAAATGACGTTCTTCTTAGAACTTGGGTATTGAGACCACTAGGATTATGTTGATCTACAGTGCAGACCAGACCTAATTATAAGTTCTATCCACTTTATTAGCAAGGGGAGGGTGGAAGCAAGTTTAATCTGGTTTTTTCATTAATTTTGCTTCCTTTTCAACAGGAAATGAGCAGTAAACTACACGGAATGGTCTCTTTCTTCTAGGGTGATATTGATCATCTAATGTGGGCGGACCATCTTATTTCTTGATCGGTTACTAGGCCTTCACCATTTTTTCCAAAAAATTCAGCGCATGGTTCCAAGAAATTTCTTGCTTCACCGTATGTAAATAAATGCTAATTTCAATTTGTCAGGGGGAATTCAGAACAATAGGTTTGATGCAGTACGCTAATCATACTTAAGAGATGGATTAGTTCAGGGTGATTGATGATGGCTGCTTGGCACTGCAATGATTTAGTGAAGTAAAACGTCTGTTATATCATATTACAAGAACCAATGGACTCTTTTCTTCATTGTATTTCTTTAATATATATTTTTTTCAAAAATAATTTCTGAATGGCTGGTCATTGTAAAATACAAATTGTTGTGTTTTAGTTGTTTAGATTGGATACTGGATGATTACTGTGACTGGGCATTGCAAATTACCTGAATTTCCTTTTTTCTTATTTTAGCCAGTAATGAATTATACTCATTTTGTGATAATGCAGGATGAAAATAATAGTCTCGAAATCTTGGATTCTTCAGATGGCATAAAATTTACAGTTTCTAGATTTTTTTGGAAGATTTACATGCATACTACTAAATTCCTATATATTTACCTATCTAACACCTAAACTTCAATTTTTACATGCATACCAAATCAACTATGCATGCAAAGGTAAATTTCACATTCTAAAAGTTAAAATGGTTGTATTTGTGTTGTAATATGAAAGACTTGGGTCATATAAATGTAAAAAAGTAAAGTTTAGGTGTTAGATTTGTAAATACGTAGGAATTGGTTGGTATGTGTAAATGCCCCATTTTTTCTTTCCCATGTGCTCACCTCCTGATCCTGTTTGATTAGGGCAAATAAAAAGAAAAGAAAAAAAAATTACAAAAACAGATGAATTCTTTTTTAAGCTTTATTTTTTGTATGCATTGAATAAATCTGTCGCTAAAACAGATAAATGTATGCATTTATACTCTTTTTAAACTTAAACCTCCTTCGTCCACAAACTTCTCATTTAATCAAGTCCGTCTTTCAAATTCCCTTTGCAGGAAGACTCTGAAAAAGAACCCAGCATTGATGATGACTTAGTCTATGACAGCTCAAGCGATGAAAGCCTTCCTATTACTGAGGAAAAGTTACCGTCAGCCGTAATTGCTTCCCTGGAGCTTTACAAGGAAGCTCTGGCAAATAATGATCAATCCAAAGTTGCTGAAATAGAGGCCTACTTTCAGTCCATTGAAGATGAGAGGAGCTCTCTTGAGAACAATGTTGCTTCTTTGTCTGATGAATTGGCTGTAGAAAAAGACCGCGTATTAAGGATTAGTGCTGATTTTGACAATTTCAGGAAAAGAACAGAGAGAGAGCGGCTGTCGTTGATGGAGAACGTACAGGGAGAAGTTGTGGAGAATCTGCTTCCAGTTTTGGATAATTTTGAAAGAGCCAAAGATCAGATCAAGGTGGAGACAGAGGGAGAAGAGAAAATTAATAGCAGTTATCAGAGCATTTATAAGCAGTTTATGGAGATTCTAACCTCCATAGGTGTTGTAGCTATTGAAACTGTTGGCAATGCATTTGATCCTATGGTGAGTTAATTCATATGGAACGTGAAGCCCACATACAGAAAGTTTTAATTTTCTTTGCCTGTTTCAGGAGTTATCGTCTTTAAAGTTTGCATTTTGATTCTACTTATTGTTTATTTTGGTTAAAAGCTTCATGAGGCAATAATGAGAGAAGAGTCGGCGGAGTTTGAAGAAGGTATCATAGTACAAGAATTCCGCAAGGGTTTCAAGCTTGGGGAAAGGCTTCTGCGTCCAGCAATGGTGAAGGTGTCTGCAGGACCAGGACCTGCAAAACCCGAAGAAGATGAAACCATTAAATCAGAAGAAGGCAGTGAGGAGTTGGATCAGGAGAGCACCAAACAAAGCGAGTAAGTTCAGATGATTATCAAAATTTTGTTAGGAGCTGTTACATTATCATGTTTTGTGATATTTTAGAGATAGGATAAATGGCTGATTGCTGTGTCTAAGCCTACTTTATAGTAGAGTTCTTTTACAGCTTCTAAAATGGAATTCTGCTCGTAATGTTTGCTCGGGAAATGGCATGTTGTGATGTGTCTAATCAAAGGATGTATTGTTGTTTTTAAATTGATGTTAAACATGCAAATTATTAAAGTTATTTACATGCATGTTTTGATCCACTCTTTTTTCGTTTCTTTTGAGAACTTTGAGCGGAAATTTTTTGAATACATGCTTTTAAGAGCTTGCTAAATGTATCTTGTGAATATGGGCCACAATTCTTTCTAAAATATGAAACATGTATGTAATACCAACTATTGGCTGTATGTGCAATGCCCAAATTTGAAGAAACTAGCCAAAATTTGACAATTTTGAAAAATACCCCAAATTGAAACTTATCAACACAGTGATTCTTATTTATTTTCTCTTAAATATTCTGCATTTATTTGCTACCTGCTATTTAAAAAATCTGATCTAGGTGCTGGCTTCTATTTAAGCTACCTAATTTTTTCAAAATTACACACACAAAAAATAAAGATTTGGTGATATTATTAGACTTAACAAATGTTCAAAATTATATATTTTTTAATATAAAATTGAAGTAATGAATAATGAAATAAATAAAAGAAAAAACATAGATTATATGAGTAAATCAAAATGGGAAAATAAATGGGTAGATGAAAAGAATTTTCTCTATCAAAAAACAAAATTAAGAATAGGAGCTGCTTCTTATAATACAAAAGGAGTGATTTATATTTTGTAAGACCCCCATGAGAAAAATATTTATGAAGGACAAATAAAATAAGAGCACTCTGATAGAGGCCTTTAATAAAACTTCAAATTTACAGTCAATAATATCTTGGTACTAAAAATTTATGAATAAAGATGTAAGAATTATGTAGTATGTATGTAAATGCTCCTACTTCTTGAAACCTATTAAATGAAATAAATTTTATGTTAAGAATAAAGCTTTTATTAAACGATTGATGCTATGTTGAGAGTTTACGATAGTTGCAACACAAAATATTGATAGCATCGAAGAGGGTGAAAATCTTGGTAGATTTCAAGCAAATAAATGCAATTTAAATTCATGATACATTTAAGTGCTCAGAAAACAAAGGTCTGTCCTATAAATAACGAATTGTAAGACGTTCTTGAACCAATAGCCTTCAAGAAAAAGTCACATCCTATTAACATATACCTCATAGCAGCAGTTCGCATCTTTAGCTGATTTATCAGTTTAAAAAAATGATAAAATTTGGACTTGTGAAGCTTGAGTTTTTAATATTTATAGATTACAAAGAATACCTTTCCCATCCAGCTTAGTACAAAAAAACTGTAATTAAAGAGAAAAAAAAAATGAAAATTAACTTATTTCTGTTTCCCAGCACAGCTTCTATGATAGGCAACAATCCCAATCAGGGAGAAAAGATTGCTACATATCCTCCTTATGATCACCACCCTGCAAAATTAATTTGATTCGAGCGTAAACAAGAATTTCTGAAAGAAAGAATGCCTTTCTCAGTTGTTTGTAAAGGCGAGCACATCTTTAAATCAAACATATCCTCTGAAAAACTGAGAGTTTTTGCTGAAATTATCATTGAACAAGATGCTGAACATATTGCATCAAAGATTTTAGTAAAATTAAACAGGACGAGAAGGAATGTAATAGAAATCCAAATAGCTCTATCAACTCGTGTCATAAATTGAATTTATTATTGGTAATCATGGCAATTGCTATAAAATATCAACATTCATTAGAACCTTGTTAAGGTGAACATTGAGTTTAGACTTTCAAAATGGTGTTCATCAAATTTTGATCAAGTTAAACAGAAGCAACAAACAGCTCAAGTAAACCCTAAGAATTCTTCAATGGAATTACAAAGAAATTATGGGAACTATTGGGAATAAAATATTATGTTTTTGTCAATCAGTCAACAATAATTTATTGCTTACATAATTTTCATTGTACCTTAATTGGCCAAAATGCTTAAACTAATCATAATAAAAGAACCCATCCAATTCTCTTTCCCGCTAACAATGACCCAATATCTTCTCTTTCTACTAGCACCCTCTTGGATCCCCATGTAGTTTAACAATGACTAGCCACCAACTTAATTATGGTAAGAGCAGCCACAATCCCCTAAATATTTGTATCGAAATTAATCATTTTGATTTTGCCAAATAATTAGACGAACAATTAAAAATGACATTAAATTAGCTTGTCCCACAATTCTCTTAGTGTGCCACAGTACTTTACTTTTAAATATGCATATCATTTTAATTAAGAGAGAAAATCATAAAAGGAAGAGTACAAAAATGATAGATTAAATGCATCAATATATATGTAAAATTTATTTCTCTAAGTTCTCTAAACTCAGAGAAATAAATTTTATATTTTTATAATTTTAATTTATTTATTATAATTATTTTAATGAGAAAATTAAAAAAAATACTTTTAGGTCTTTTAAAAATTTATTTTTAACTTAGACAAATTGGAAAAAATATTTTAATGAATCCCAAGTGATCAGGAAAGCATTAGACACATTTTAAACCATTTTTGTATTTTTGAAGTTTTTAATTATTTTTAATTTAAAATATAGTTAAAAAATAAAGTATTTTTTCAAAAATCTAATGTCTTAATTACCCCATGGATAGGTTACTCTAAAATTTTCAAAGTCATTTGAATTATGTTTAATAAGTTATGAAGTGCAGAACCCTAGGGTAAAATGATCATTTTAGATTCTTACGTCTTAATCAAAATTTAGGATCAAAAAAAAAAAAAAATATACAATGATAAGTCAAAGATTATTAAGCAACCTATTGCCGAACATTTGCCACTCTAAGATGATGGAACTTAGCTTGAGAATCAATGAAAATAAAACAATCCCTAAACAACTAAAGATTAAGTGAGAGCAATAGCAATTAATAGCTGACACATGAAAGTAATGATGACATAAGAGATTAAGAGAATCGATATTGAAGAGTGACACAAGTGAGAGCAATAAATGGAATGGGGAGTGTTCTTCAGTATGAGATAAAATTTAAAAGTTGGATTGGCTGTGCATGGAATTGAGAGCAAGATATTCTAGCAGGAATAGGATCAATTAGAGAATCAATGATTGATGGCAGTGCAGAGAGGTGTTTTCAGATAAGGGAGGTGTTAATGTAAAGCTTGACTTTCATATCATGTTAATTTGAGCAGAAACTTTTTACACATTGATACGCCACCAACAAATTTTCATCATCCAGTACGGATCTCGAGATGATATTTTGAGCATGAAATGTTCAAATGATGATAAAAATTCATCCAGAGCTCCGTTTTCAACAAACATATAGTCAAACTGACCAGCTCGATGAGACGGACCTAATGATATAAAAACTAGTCCAATTCGAGTTAAGTCAAGCTCATATCAAGTCATTAAACCACATTTGAAAGATTTCTGAACACATTTGAAAGATCAAACAAATGTCGAAACTAGCAAACCTATACTCGAATTGAACGTCTCGACAAGACAAATCCAATAAGCCTAAGATCACTCAATTATGACATCGTTAATGCACTCAAATGTCCATTAAACACCGCATGATTTAAGAAAACTCTCTAAACCAACTGATCAAAATTGTTGATATTCCTGCATTAATTGCACCCAGTACATTATAAATAGACATCCACCACTCACATGAGGGAAAATTGAAGTCTAGAAAGAGAGCATGAGGCCTTGAGGAGAAGCTGCAACTCAGCATCACCGTCGACTGTCGTCGCCCACCGCCGACCTCCGTCGATGACCACCACCGACCGTCGTCGATCTCCGCTAACCGTCGTCGATCTCCGCTAACCACCATCGATCACCACCAACTAGACGCCGTCGACTTTGTAATCTGAAAAATGTAGTTACTATTTTCCCGTCTGTGGGATAAAGAATTTCTGTAATCATTAATTAAATAGTGGATTTTCACAACTGGGCTAGACCCTGTGGTTTTTCTCTTTACGAGTTTTCCACATAAAAACTTATGGAGTCATCACCGTTTATTTCTTTTTCAACTCTGTGTGCTGGACTTTAGTACAACGCTAAGATTATAGTTCGTGCCTCTACCGTCACGAATTTTCTAGCACGCATCATACATATTTGTGGAAACCGTCGCATTTTAAAGAAAAAATTATAAACATGTTATAGTAAAAAAAACAAAAAAACAAAGATAATTAATTTTTACGTGTCTCCATAATAGCAATATTTAACATGATATGGTACACTCCTTGTTGATTTTAGTGAATATGAAGTAACAAAAGAATTGAATAATGATGCTAGTTGCAAAAAAATGGTTATTTCCTTCCATTATTCTTTATCATTTAAGGCACTATTTGACTTGATCTCGATTTAAGATGAGATTTGAATTAAGATCAAATCTCTTTTACTTTCTAAATTAAAAAAAATAATAATGGACTTACTCGTGATGAATTTAATTGCCCAAGCAAATTATGTGGGATAGATTTTCTTTACAGGCTTTCAAGGGTTAATTGAAAGGTCAATTCCTTGCTTTCATGAAGATAATAAATAACGCTATGTTTATTTCCTACAAAAAGAAAAGTAATTTTCATGCGGATAGGTAAATGAAGCATAAATTTGATCACTTCTAAAAATATTCAGCTACTTCTATTTGGATAGTTTTTATCATTGTAGGGAGTATTTATCTAACAAAATTATTCATTTTATATTAATTTCAATATTTCATAAATCTCTACACACAAATGCCTTGACTATGGCTCTCACTGGATCAACGATTGCTAATCTTGATTGCATTAAATGTGACAAGCTCAATTTGAATTGAAATAAAAGTTTGTGCTTATTATCAAAGTATGATAACTTCAAAAATCTCTAAACTTTGCTACCATAATCATCTATTTGGGAATGAAGATTCTCTTTGTTTATATATGCTTCACCATTTCTAAATTTTGCACCTTTTCTAGGAAGTCAAATATTATTGATACGCCACCAACAATTTTCATCAACTAACACGGATCTCGAGACAATATCTTGAGCAAAAAACATTCAAATTTCGATTAAGAGTCATCCAGAGCTTCGATTTCAGCAAAATTATAGTCAAACTGATCGGCTCGATGAGACGGACATATGTGATATGAAAGTTAGTCCAATCTGAGTCAAATCAA